GGTAAATAATCCATCGCAGGAAGATTTTTATGAAAGGTTTTGTTTTGACACGTCAGAAAATCGCAGAGGCGTTTCATTTGCATTCTCTTTTAGAATCATTTTATTCTATCAGTTCTCTAGAACACTGGGTGTCGAGTCCTTTTTTTTTGAATTCTAAAAAATGCTTCACACAGATTGGGGAGGCATTGTCCTTTTATTCATCCGACGTGGTTAGAATTCTCGGCTTTTGAGGAAAGAATGATTTTACCCGAATAATAACAACAAGGCAACCGTCTGTCTGATCAACCAGCATTCGACTTACGAACGAAAGAAAATATCGTTCCTTTGCATAAAATTTTTGAAATAAAAAGCAGTTAGAAAAAAAGGAACATAAAAAAAGTTTAAAAAATATAACACACAATCAAATCTAGCTGTATTCCCTCAAAATGCTAATTTTAAATTGTAAAATTTTGTGTGACCATAACCGATATATTTTAAATGCAATAGTACGATCGACTAATAATACAGGTTTACACGTATATTAAATTAAGGTGTACATAAAATAAATGCACATTTTACGTACATATAAACATATTATTTTTTCTCTTTAAAAATATATCCAAGCCTCACCCATCCCAGCTGAATGGAACTATATTTCTCTAGAGTTTACAGAAGATCAACTGAAATTAGGGAACAGTAATGTTGATGTACTAGAGCTCGAGCTGAATTATACACTCCGTAAAGTAGAAATTACACACAATGACATAAAAATATTTCTTACAGAACAGCACTTTATCTCTAAAATATGAAGGAAGACGTTTCTTATATAAAATTTAAACTGTTTTTCTAATTTTATTTTATTAGCTCAGATGTAGGAGAAACTCAAATGACTCAGACTACTGTATTTGCTTTAACTAGTCAATGTGTCAGAGTAGAGAGAATGCCTTTCTCCTATTCTACCTGAAACTACCGTTCAAAAAGAGGGGTTTACCCCTCCTCTCCCCCTTTTTTCGGACATTTCATTCGAGGAACAACTGCATTCCATTTAAAAATAGTTACTGGTTTTCTTGCCTAAGCATTTGTTAAACTTGTTTTATTCCGAGCGTGTAGATATCGTCGAACTGTCGGTGATGAGAGAATGTAACAAAAAATTATTTAAAACTTGTACTACACGAAATTATTTTGCGCCAATAAAAGTATATTCAAATCTAAGATTAATTAAAAATGCTCTTTTCGTGAGTAGTGCTTCTTTATCAGTTGAAATTCACGCAAAATATCCTTATTTTTAATTGCATTAGCACGAGCGATTCCACACTTTATGTATCGTACAAGTTTCGAGATTAATGGGAAAGGGGGGGGGATGAACTAAAATAGTCTTCTGTTACATAAAATAAACTGCATAGAGAAAAAATGTCTTTTCCCACTCAAGTTTAAAGGTGACATTGTGCAATTCACAGGGTTATTTTTTCGACTAAGAGACGTCCTTCCATCGCATCCTGCATTGTTCGATATTGAATTCTTTTAAATAGAATTTCAATTTCAGTAGTTCAACGGATGCTGTTGTATGAAGTAAAACATTTTCAGATAACAATCTGAATTTTTAAGCTTATTTACTGAACAAAAAAAAAACACTTTTTTTCTCAAATTAAAATCCATAAATCAAATCACTGCGCCCGTTCTCTTTCTTTCCTATTTCTAATTTCATTTCCCCTTTTTAAAAAATTTATATTTTTAGGCTTTCCATATTGGTAATAAAAATTGTAATATTTTTTGTTTAATCATTTTTCTAAATGGGAATGCACCGTCCAGCCCTGTAGGGTGTATATGACCCTCGGCTTGTAACCGAGTGGGTTCGGGTTCGAATCCCGAGTAAGGCATGGTTGTATTTTCTTCGGGGAAAGAAGTCAGACGTTCGTCTGTAATGGAAAGCATCCTCCTTCTGTTATATGCTGGGATCCTCATTTATAATAAATGTCTGTTTGTATTGTATGTTTCTATTCTTCCACTCGTATTTCATATATATCCCAGGATAAAAACACACGACAAGCGGGTATGCTCTGTTGAAACAAAAGAAGCAAGAGTTTCGTTTTATTTGAAGCATTCTACTCCATTTCATACAAATAATTCTAATCCATCTCTATTGTGTACGTAGCAGTTTTCTGTTTAAATTGAATGAAAATAATTTTTTGAACGAATATCTATTTGTTTCGATATGAGTTTTATAAAATGTGTCTGCTTAACTAAAGGAGTTTTCTTCTTTTTCTCTCCGTGAATCAATTCAACTTGTCAAACTTACACAGGGAAGTACTTTTCCTTTTACTTAGAAAGAACGCTCACAATACACAAGTGAGTGAGTGAGTGAGTGAGTGAATATTAACGTCGCACTGTTCAGCTACACGAGGGCTTTTGGCGACGGACCACGTAATTTTGAACCATGGTCAAGTGACGTGGACGACACCTGAGCTGGCACCCCCCTCTCCTAACTACCACACCACACCAACGGGAGGACGTTTCAGCTCTCGACAGATTTAACGTGCATCGCTGCCCTACACGGCGGGTCTTTAGTGGTACGGGGATCGAACTCATGACATGCCTGCCATGGTCCGATACCTTAACCACTGGGCTACCGCAGCCCAATACACAAGTGAGAGGGAGGAGGAGTGGCAAATCTAAAAAACTTTACAACAGATGTTTCCTCTTTTTAGAAATGAAACTGTTTTGGGCTCGA